GAGAGAGTGAGAGACTCGGTTCATTCTCTCTGAGTAACCAGTTGTTGCAGGTAAGAAGGAAAACTCCATTTTAATAAAAAAAAGACTTACAGACAGAACCAGACTCATCAACTATCTGCTTTGTCCAGCTGCAATAAGCAGTGGGAGGGGGAATAATAATTTTGTACGACTCATAATATTTTAATTTACTGTTAAGGCCGTATGATGGCATGATTTTAGCTAACAAATAAAGTTCCCAACTCCATCTTACATATGAGAACAAATCAGTACAAAACATGGTAAGATGACATTTGCTGTTCTGCACTGCAGAAACAAACAGTTTAGTTTAATGCAGTGTAACAATTTTTATTTCTCACTAAGCAAAAGCAAAGTGAGTTTCATGTCAGTGTTTCCTGTTAGGAGCAGTCTATGCAAAACTTAGGCGCCGTCTCTTTTTAATGAGCACAGAGGATGGTAGAGAACAAAAAACAACATGTTGGACTACAGGACAGGACTGCTGCTTTTAGCTCTCTGCTGGGCAGGTGAAGATTTTCACTGATCTCACTGTTGATATGCATTGTTTTTGTTTGTGACACAATTTAATTCAGATGATTTTTTAAAATATCTTACCAGGTGTTGAAGGTCAGACTCTGACACAATCTGAACCAGACCTAATTAAAAGACCTGGAGAATCTCACAGATTGACCTGCACAGCCTCTGGATTCACATTCAGAGACTATGAGATGGTTTGGGTCAGACAGGCTACTGGAAAAGGACCGGAGTGGATTGCTTTTATAAGCATTTCAACTCATAGTTATGCTACGTTTTATTCCCAGTCAGTCCAGGGTAGATTTACCATCTCCAGAGATGATTCCAGCAGTAAAGTCTATTTGCAGATGAACAGTTTAAAGACTGAGGACACAGCAGTTTATTACTGTGCCCGAGAGACACACAGTGAGAGACAGCAATAGAAATGCCATACAAAAACTACACCAGGGAATATTTGCTAAACTCAGGGTCTTTGTCCAACTTTTTAAACATCCATGGTAACAATGTCATCATTAATTATTATTACAGTGTGTCTTGCCCAGTGTCACCTTGTTTGAATTTATGTTCCAAATATGCAGCATCAATTTTGTTGTTGTTAAGTTAGGAAAAGTCAACAAATTAAACCAGATATGTTGACCAGTTTAGAGACACTAGCTTCATCGTCAAAACAGGGACAGTTTGTCATTCTTACACCCCATTAAAGGACAATATAAACACAAATTTCAACACATTATAAAAGAAGAAACTATTTTTTTAATCAATAAAACATACAGTGTCATTATCTCTTATAATATAGATTGCTGATCAGTATGTCACATCTGTCTATCTAAACATTTATAAACAATATTAACAAATCATTACTGCATTTTATCATGTACAGTCGTGATGAAGACGTTCAAAACATTATGGATGAAGAGGTCATTGTCACAGATCATACTACATATGCAAAGTTATGGTGTGGTTTCAGAAGAGCTTGTCTGTAACTATTATTTGATTTCAGAGAATCAGCTGATCAGAGTGGAGAGAGGGGTGCTGTTTGACTAGTAAACAATGATCTGCAGGCTGAGGAGGACCCATCACCTCTTGAGTAACAACATCAAAAACATGAATTTAAATAAAATAAGGTATTTTTTCTTTTCAAAATAAAATATATCGCTATTACTTGGTTTGAAAGAACTGGTTTGAGATTAGAAGTTAAATAAACCCCTCATCTGGGGCTCTCCTTAGCTCTTCCCGAGAGGGTGGCACGGTTGCCCCTCTGATGGTCCTCCTTGGGCTCTCGCACTCTGGGGGCCTCTGGATGTCTGGGGCCTGAATCTCCTGCATGCCTGCTTCGTACCCTCATGGGACGGGGCTATGGCTCTCCTCACCTTCTAGCAGATCATTACGTGGAGAAACCTTTTGAATACAAGAGCACATCCACACAGGTGTACACATGGGTGTACACATGGGTGTGCACTGCTCACAGACACAAACTACACCTTTCTTGACTGTTACCTCAAAGCACACTGTGTGCTGTCAGTCCTGCGTGCTGCACAAAAACATTCAATATTTATTATTTATTGCTATTTACACTTAGCTAGATTATTGCGATGGTGTTGTGTTTATTATGTTGCTCTCTTTTTTGCTTGTTTTCTCTTTTTTTTTCTCTCAACAGGTGATTCAGGAGATTGTCTCCAGGCTGCATCTCAGGCCCCGTTTCCCCTCTCTAGTTCCACGTCCCAATAGCCATGCCGCATCAAGTTCTACGTTTCAGTTCCTTTTGTTCTTGCCACGTTTTCTAAGACTAAGTCTAACCAATAAATATATTGTAAAACTACCTGCTGTTTCTGCACCTGAGTCCAGGTTTGGTACTGACCACTTGGTTTCATGACAATTTTTCCTAACACAGACTCACCTGTGCAAAACACACTACAACAATCAGAAACTTTTTGACATACTGCAAAACATGAATGGTCATTCAATCTCTTTGTCACTGTGATGAATGAATAAAAATCTTTAAAAAAAAATTCTTCAAAGACTAATTCATCAAAATGACTTATTTTTTCCTTAATGCCTGTCTCACTTCGGAGCGCTGCAAAAATGTAGGCATAATGTAGAGTAAAAGTTATTCAGACATGTGACAATGCGAACAGCGGTGGATCCAGAGAAATTTTCTTAGGGTGGCATGAGGGTGTGTGGAAGAATTTCTTTCAATTATGTATTATTCACATTATTTAATTGTATAATGCCTTGGTGCCACTGGATTTTAGCATGTCTTAGCCTACGTCCACACTAATGCGTTTTCGTTTAAAAATGCATCTTTTTCTCTCTGTTTTAGCCTCCCGTCCACACTGAGACAGCGTTTTTGCTCAAGGAAAACATGCACATTTGAAAACAGAGCTTTCCCGTCGCAGTGTGGACACTTGAAAACGATGACGCATGTTAGTCATATGATGCAGTCATGTGACCACTTCAACCAAGATAGCGGAGAGCATTATACAGCAGTTGTTTTGTTTGCTTTCAATTTTGACAGCCCTATTAAAGATTAATATCAGTTTGTACATGCTCCAGATAGCTTTTCTTCAAATTCTCTAATTCTCACCCGCTTTTGCAACTTTGTACTTTTGTGCTCTACCTCATTGCTAGTCCATTTAAAAAACTCGGTGCTATTCAAAGACACGTTTCAAAGAGCCGGAAAGTAAATAAGCAGCAGACAGAAATGAGGCAGGTCGAATCTTCTTGCGTTTCACGCATGTGCAGTACTGGAACGTAAGCGTGTTTGGCCGGTTCAATGTGGACGCGCAACCCTGTGAAAACGGCTGAAAACTAAAAGGGAGAATGACGAGAGCACTGAGATTTAAACCACATTAAGCAGAGGCTGATTTGCTCAAAGAAGGAGGGAAAGAAGATGATTGGACTAGAAAAATGACAGCATTGAGATTGGCAGCATTTTAAAATAAAGCTATTTTTTTCATAAAGGCCCTAACCTCCAACAGCTTCACTTGAATACAAGCTATTACAAAAGGCCAATTGTCACTGTAATGTCAGATTGTGTGTTTTTATGAGGACCCAAACACAGACCACAAGAGTTTCTCATTTGTTTCTCATTCAAAACCTTAACAAAGTTGTTTAAATGACTTGAGTTAAAAGCAGGGCAGCTATACTGGTTAATAGCATTCCTAATGATGTCGTATTCTAAAGCGGAAGATGTCGGACTCGGCTGAAGCAAGTGGCTGTTTTATGAAATGAACATATTCCCGTCTCTTCACTTTTCTGAAACAAGCAGACAAGAACAGTACAGTAATATGTGAAAACTATCGGCTGCTGTTAATAGCACGAGTAATCTCCTGAAGCGCCTGACACGAGAGCATAGACGAACACTTCTGAGTGATCCTTGTTCATCATCCATGGATAACACCGCGGCAACTCCTGCTAAGCAGGCAAAACTTGATTTTACTTCAGCAGCACAGAAAGCATCTGAAGGTGAGCTTAAAAAAATGATTGCAGGCTACATTGTGGAAGAGATGCTACCGCTGCGTACTGTAGAGTCTCCGTCTTTAAAAAAAAAATTATTATTTAAAGAGTTTAATTTCTATTGTTTGTCCACTCAAGGTTTATAGGGATTTTAAGAAGTATTTAGTTAAATTACTTATTGAGTAATTAAGTTACTTTTCAGACACAGTAATTAGATAAGTATTTTAAATACAATATTGATTAAGTAATTAGTAATTAATTACTTTTTTAAAGTAACTTACCCAACACTGGTTGTATGTTTATTTCAGTGAGACACATTATAAAAAGAATGAAGCTGTATCTCAGGATATGTGAGTATTTTCAGTCAGCTCAAGGCTGTTAAAACATCTCCAGAGACAACAGCAAAAAAGCATGTGAATCTGGAGATAAACAGTTTGAAAAATGAAGATTCTATTTGTTACTGTGCTCGAGGGTCACAGTGGCTGGACTGAATGCAGTGACTCTGATCATGGACTTATTTAAAGTGTGATTCAAACATCCAGGACATACTTGCTACATTCTTACTTTGTCTTTCACAAAAATACACTTGTTATAACTGTTCTTCCAGGCACACTTAAAATTTTAAACCATTTAAATGATACTAATTGAGTCAAAATGTAAAATGTATTTCTGAAGCACTTAGGTAGAGTACACCTGGCTGTGTGTGTAACAGCAGTCTAATATAACATTAACTGAAATAACTCTCATAGTCCCTTTTCACCCTTTTCATGCAAAATAACAACAATAAAAAGAAGTCATCTTTCATAATTTATTTCTTAAATCTGAGTGAGTAATGAAATTAGAATCTAATAGAATAATTTTCCTTGCATGGTTTCATGTTGTTTGTATAGGCAGTTTTTTCAACAGGCTTCAGTTAGACCCTAATGAATGCTTTATGCATTTGTATGCAAATTGACTTCTTCTGTTATGCAGGTATAAAAGCTTCACATCAGACTGTGTTGTGGAGTTCGCGTCATGACACGTTCATCAAAAAACATGTTTTCTGTAGCTCTGTTATTGCTCTTAGCCACTTCATGTGAGTCTCTTTAACATTCACAGTATTTGTTTTGTAATATAAACAATTTGTCACAAATTTGTCACAAATCTTTTTTTTTTTTTTTTTTTTTAACAGGTGTGAAGTGTGAACAGCTGACACAGCCAGCCTCAGAGACTGTGCAGCCAGGTCAACGTCTGACCATCACCTGTCTGGTCTCTTATTCTGTGGGCAGCTACTACACAGCTTGGATCAGACAGCCTGCAGGAAAAGGTCTGGAGTGGATTGGGATGGCACGTACTGGATCTACAACATACTACAAAGATTCACTTAAGAGCAAGTTCAGCATTTCCACAGATTCCTCCAACAACAGAGTTACTTTAACAGGACAGAATATGCAGCCTGAAGACACAGCTGTGTATTACTGTGCCAGAGAGTCACAGTAACACACACAATCAGCAGCTCTGTACAAAAACCAGTGAGAGCCTCAATACTTAAATTCACCAGAGGAGGAGCCCCCAGGCCTCTTATTATGTTTTGACATAGATGATTATTAAAGGAAGAGACAGTTGATGAGAAAAAGAAAATTACTTGTCCAAATATACATTAAAAACACAAAAATTAAATATGCCTTTTTAAGTCTCAACTTCAGAATGCAACAAATAAATAAACAAGGTAAGGTTATAAGGAGTTAAATAAATCATTGGCACAATTCTGGTGGAGGGTGTTTAGTTTCCATTTGTTGTCAATTTGCCTCAAAACATTTAGTCTATTAGTTGGTCCACTAATTTTCTTCACTGCTGTATGTATGTCAATGTTCCTTCAATTCTTGCTGTTTTATGTATTCTGTCTTTGTGGCTTTTAGACTCTCGTGTCTGTGACCCTTGACTCCCCATCTTAACCACATCCTGAGCTTTATTCAGTTATTCATTATGTATTATTCTGCATCTGGTTCATTTTCAGCATCAGGATATAGACTCTGGAGTTCTGTTTTACTTCCTACCAGTCTTGAGACTCAGCTTGCATGTTCTCCCCATGTTATTTTGACTGACTGGGTCCAAAGCCACAGAATTAGTGATGTCAGGTTAATTGGCAATTCTTAATTGAATTTGAGTACAAATGTCTGTCTGTGTTAGTCCTGTGACAGAAAGACAACAGGTCTCACCCAATGCCAGCTAGTATAGGCTCCAGCCGTCTTGCAACCCTGAACGGGACAAGAAGAAGAAGAAGATGGATGGTTCGAAGGCTGGATGTGTTCTCCTTTTTTGGTTTTAGTAGGAAATCTGGCTGTTGCATTTTTTGGATTAAAACACCAACTATTCCCAAATTCTAAATAAAACGTATCCATCTAAATCTCTATTTTACAATTAAAGTTTAAACTCTCATGATGTCAAATTTAGAAGGAGAAGATTTACAGAAAGAAAAAAATTCCCTGTAAAATCAAACTTCACTGTTTTATAATTTGTCAGTTCTCCAAAATTTTTTCTCAAAAATACTGGTTACACTAAAATATATATATTTTTTCATTTTATGCAAAAAATTCCTCCTATAAAGACAAAAATAAAAATTCTCAATAATATGTAAAGTGTGAGGTTACATATTAGAAACAGTGAGATACTTTTTGTTTAAATCATTCAATGGAAATTTTTACAGATTTTACAGCTTATTTTGTTCTTACATGTTTTAATATTCTACTATACCTCATGTGGTCATTTCTCTATACTAAGTTTAGGTTTAGACAATATATTTCATTGAAAAAAGGCAGGAAACAGAAGTGCAAAATGTAAACCTATTTTGCACTTCTGTTTCCTGCTTATTAGACAGAAACTACCAGGGGTAATTGAGTGGTAATGGTTTGAAAATTACTCCATTATTACCTTCTAGTTTCTGCCTTGTTACCCTACTTTCCCCATTATTACGCAGCTATAATACAAAGTGCAACACAAATCTTGTCAGAAGCAGTTGATCCCTTTCTGTGAGGAGGAGTCAACAATTCAAATGCAAAAACTCAACTTCTACTTAACTGAGGGTTGAAGGGAACATTTAACACTCAGATCACACAATGGCCTATAGGGCAGGGCTGCTGATTTTAACTGTCTGCTGGGCAGGTGAAAATTGTATATATATATAGTTTATATGTATTCTCTCTCTCTCTCTCTCTCTCTCTAATACATTTCTTTTTCATTTGGACAGGTGTTGATGGCCAGACTCTGACACAGTCTGAACCAGTGGTCAAAAACCCTGGTAATTCACACAGACTGACATGTGCAACATCTGGATTCACATTCAGCAACTACTGGATGCACTGGATCAGACAGGCTCCTGGAAAAGGACCGGAATGGATTGCTATTATACGCACTTCAAGTTATAGTTATTCTGCGTCTTATTCCCAGTCAGTCCAGGGTAGATTCACCATCTCCAGAGATGATTCCAGCAGTAAACTCTACCTACAGATGAACAGCTTGAAGACTGAGGACACAGCAGTTTATTACTGTGCCCGAGAGACACAGTGACAGAAAGCAATAGAAATGCCATACAAAGACTACTTCTCTATTTATCAACACCAGGGAATGTTTCCTACATTTTTAAACATTCATGGTAAAAAATGTCATCATTAATTAGCAATCCTTGCCACGTGTCACCTTGTTTGAATTTAGGGTCGAAAAGTTAGCAAAAGTCAGTGAACAATTTAAACCAGATATGCCGACCAGTTTAAAGAAGGTCCCATTAAACTCACACTAGCCTCATCATCAAAACAGGGAGACTTTGGCATGGCTATTGAAACACCTACACCCCATTAAAAGACAATATAAACACAAATTCCAACACATTAAAAAAGAATAACATATACTCTTAAAAATCAATAAAGCATACAGTGTCATTATCACTTACAGTTTAGATTACTGAGAAGTATGTCACTATCTAAACATGTATAAACAACATCAATAAATTATTACAGCATTTCACCAATGGGTTGCCATTATTAGATATGATGGTGGGAGCACTTACTATTCTCAGTCAGACCAAGGCCGGTTTACCACCTCCAGAGACAACAACAAGGATTTTTTTTTTTCGTGTGTGCAGCGCAGATTTTCTGTGCGGGGAGACCATGTCAGCAGTGTGCGATTGCTCACGCGCTCAGCTTAGAGGGAACATTTTCTTACTTCCCCTTTTCATTAGATAATTAATAGAAAGAGCGCAGAGCGAGTGTGCAGACAGGAACCAGCACTCTGAGCTAGGACTCCAGCTTCAAACACCTGCTTGCCAACATGAGCACCGACAGTGTCGTCATCGTTTCTGCCGCCCGGACGCCGATTGGGTCCTTGAACGGTGCTTTGTCTACGGTGCCTCTACATGACCTGTGTTCAGCAGTGATCAAGGACGTTCTGAAGCGGGCTGGGGTGAAACCAGATGAGGTTTCTGAGGTTATCATGGGACATGTCCTAACAGCAGGTCATGGGCAGAATCCAACACGTAAAGCCAGTGTTGGAGCAGGTATCCCCTACCCTGTCCCGGCCTGGAGCTGCCAGATGGTGTGTGGCTCTGGGCTAAAGGCTGTGTGCCTGGGAGCTCAGTCCATCCTGACTGGAGAGTCCACTGTGGTGGTGGCAGGAGGCATGGAGAGTATGAGCAGGGCTCCTCATACAGTGCATATGAGAGCAGGAGTGAAGATGGGCGATGCCTCCCTGCAGGACTCCATGGTGGCAGACGGCCTGACGGACATCTTCCACTGCTACCACATGGGAATCACGGCTGAGAATGTTGCAAAGCAGTGGGGTGTCAGTCGGGAGGAACAGGACAGGTTTGCTGTCAAGTCTCAGAGCAGAACAGAAGCTGCACAGAAGGCGAGGTACTTTGATCAGGAGATTGTCCCCATCATGGTGCCATCCAGAAAAGGTAGGTTTCTAATCCACAGTTCTATACGACAGTTATGATGATGCATAAAGTGCAAACATGTTTCTCTGACCTTCAGGTCCAGTGGAGGTGAAGGTTGATGAGTTTCCTCGGCATGGTAGCAACATGGACAGCATGTCAAAACTCAAACCCTGCTTCGTCAAGGACAGCAGCGGCACTGTCACCGCAGGAAATGCTTCAGGTATAAATGATGGAGCAGCAGCAACTGTCCTGATGAGCCAATCAGAGGCTGCGCGGCGTGGCATAAAACCAATGGCCAGAATTGTATCCTGGGCTCAAGCTGGTCTCGACCCTTCTATCATGGGAACGGGACCAATACCAGCCATTAGGAAAGCGGTGAGAATTTTACAGCGATCAAAATATGATAATAGGAATTTTATTTATATATCTTTTACTACTTACAACTTTCATTTCCTCCCAGGTTGAGAAAGCAGGCTGGCAGCTGGACCAGGTCGACTTATTTGAGATCAATGAAGCATTTGCTGCACAGTCAGTTGCTGTGGTCAAAGAGCTTGGCCTGAATGAAGAAAAGGTAAATGTGAGCGGTGGTGCCATTTCTCTGGGCCATCCTATTGGCATGTCTGGCTGCAGAGTGCTGGTGACCTTGCTGCATGCTCTCCAGAGGACCGGAGGGCGTAAGGGAATCGCATCTCTCTGCATTGGTGGAGGAATGGGTATCGCCATGTGTGTAGAAAGAGTCTGAGACATGTACCTCTGTGCTGTTTAATATATTGCACTTGATCTCATCTTTTTTTTTTTTTTTAATGGCTACTGAAAATCATTGTTTACACAACAGGGTTAATACGCAATAGAAAGTTTACTTATCTTCTTTACATCACAACACTTGAGGCAAAACTGAGTGTGTGCTGTAATTCTCACTGTGATCTTCATTTTAAACTCAACTGTCCTCAGGTTTTAGCTTTTGAATTTTGTGAATTAATGATAAAAGTCTTGTCAGTACAAATATGTAACTCTAGCATATACTGATGGCTAATGTGTAATACCAGTAGCAGCTTAAATATAACAATGCTGGTAATATATATGACAGAGCCCATATTACATTCAATAGTTGTCAAGCAGACAACTAATACTGTTCCATTTAAAAACCAGCTGCTATCAGTTACTTATACAGGCAAATAAGGTTTAACACTAACTCTGTAAAAGATAGTTTTTAGTACCAAGTATGGACAAACATGTTACTGTCTCTGAAGAATGTAATTTATTCCTAATCTTATAGGATTTTAAATACGCTTGCTCTAAAAACCTGAACATTCCAGTATCTTCCCATGTGGAATTAAAGGGACCTTCTCAAATTGCGTAGGCATTAGCCTTCAAACAGAAAAGTGCCATAAGTATGCTTGCCTTCTTAAACCTCATGCTTCCTGTACATGGGCATGTCTGCAGATATTTTTCCTGTAATCTGAGAAATTAAAGATTTATAAACTTGAAAAAAAAAAAAAAAAAAAAAAAAAAAGATAATTAATAGAAATTTAATTACCAACTAAAATTGACATAACTTCAAGATTCTCAAAGATTGCCTCTGCATTGTTTGAACTTCTTCTTCTTAATAGTGACCCTAACTGGTTGACCAATCCTGGACTCATCTAACTCTCCATTTAATCACAGACAGGAAAAGTCTGATCATCAATGTCTAAAATTAAAATATTAAAATATAATTTCTGTAGCTGGATGATTGTGGTTTTTTTTTTTTGGTACATGGACATTGACTATCTACTTCAAAACAGAGGAAAATACCCAATATATTTAATAGTCAACTCCACTTCCATTATATTGTTTCTCTAAGGAGGAGCTGATGCAAAACTTGTATTATTTAGTTTTGCTAATAATAAAAATTTAAAAATAGTATAACAAAGTAATTTATAGACTATCCTAAATTTATAGACCATACCCAATTTTGGTATGGTTTCATTTTGTATTTTTAAATAGATATTTTTGGTCATTTATTTAAGCAGCAAACCAGTCCAGGTTAGACTTAAGAGTTTTTAAAAATTAAAAGAACTTTAGGAGGCAACAAATAAATTGGTGAAATATGATAATGATTATAAGGAAACTGATAAATAGTTATAGAAATGACTGAAAGATTTTTTAGGCTGTGATTTGAGTTTTGTTCAAAAAAGAATAACTTCATATAGGAAAAAAGGCAGAACAAAATCAGGGCTGTATCAAGACACAGGGACTAAACCCCAATTCAACCAGACCCAGAACTGACCCGGAATTAAAACAGGACTACAACAGTTCAAAATCAGGACAACTTTAGGACTTAACCAAGACAGAACCAGAATCAAAACACTGAAAATCATCATAGACCTGCACTACACTTATTTTTTAATTCTACCAAAGTACACTATTTAGATTATATAGTTTATATAATTATTTACCATTGTTGTGCAAACAAGCCTGCATAACTTAATAAATATAGAATTTGAAAAATAACAAATGGTGTTTAAAAAGATACACTTGGTACCCGATACATGTTCTGATGAGTTTTGGCAAACAACCATTTGACTAACATGTGTGTCTCACCTGCTCTTGTTCCATCTCTGTTCTGTCCTCATTCTGCCCTCTCTCCTTCTCTGTTCCTCTCTCTCTCCCTCTTTGTGCTGACAATCAAACCAAACACCAACATCATCAAATATACAGTTAAAATAAGATATTTACATACTCTTCAGATAAAAACACAAACACTTTTTTTAATTGTAACATCAAATCAGAGCATGTTTATCATTTTTAGATTGATAAATATAAAAAACATATTTGTTAAATTTAAGAGTAAAGAGCGAAATTGTCTGTATTTCTTAATTGTAAATGGCACCAAATTGTATTCAAAATTGAGCCACACTTATGGAGCTCCACAATTCTTTTCCTGGTGTTTTGGTTGATATCTCTTGATTTTTCCCATGTAAGCTCTGTGCTCAGTCGGCTAATGCT